CCCCCCCCCCCCCCCCGCCCCAACCAAACAAACAAACAAACCCCAAAACCCAAACCAAACAAACAAACCAAAAAACCACACAACAACCATGTTTTACACGATGAAGCAGTGCATTAGTTCGACTCAGCTCTGCAGCATCTGTAGAGTTCAGGCACTTCAGCAGGGCTTTTTTGGCACTTTTCTGATTCAATCAGCTATTAGGTAAAAGCACCAAAAGCCCCACTGAAGCACCTGATTTATATAGATGTTGTACAAGCTGGGTCCAACTAACATGATGCCTCTTCTGGGCACGTGCTATGCTCAGTAGTGTGGGGGAGCCCCAAGTTTAAAGTGAAGCACTTTTTGTGGGGAAGGAGGGAGGGTTATGTCTGTAAGCAGCCATGATTTATACTGAAATGGCCAAGAAAGAGTGGCATGAGGTTGGTTATATGAACTGTATATTCACTAGGGAACAGTGCAGAAAGGATGGAACAAGGAACCAAGGATCTGTTCCAGGTTTAAATATGTAACACGGGGCTGTTCAACTCGCAGCTAGCAAATTGTATATGTCAACGTAAGTCAGGACACCCTCCACTGCTCCAGTCTACAATCCCTGTTGTTATCCCTATCCATTCCTTCCAACTTATTCTTCCCCCAGAATCCTCATATTTGTTCTTGTTAGTCTGTTTTGATTTTTTTCCCTCCACAAAAAGAAATCTGTGTTTTCCCTGACAGTGTGTCATCACTGTGCAGGAAAGCACAACATACATTATACACACACACACGCATACACTTTGCAGCACACCAAACATTATGAAACATGCTGGAAAGGCAAGTGTCAGTCTTCTGGCAGGGGAGGGAGAGGGGGCAGAGGGAGAGCTGCAAGTTCCCCCCATCCCAAACATAGATGCACCCTCTTTCCTGGCAGAGATGAGTCTTCTGCTGCTAGTGGGAGCAAGGAAGTGGTAGCAGTGCCTGCACCTGCATCACCACCACTAACACAACCTACCAGCAGCAGCATGACATTCTTTACCCCAATTTCAGTTTGCAGCATAAGCCTTCCAGTGCCAGAAGAGGATCTGGATCTGGAAGCAGAGGAGCTAAGGGTCATAGCGAAGAAAATTCTGGGGAAGGAAGGGGAATCTGAGTTTGTGCTCCACACCCCTCAAAGTTCCCCTAGACCCAGGTCTCCTTCTCCGGAAAGCAGCACCTATGAGGAGGTTGTGGGGGCAGGTGGCTTAGCTCCTTCTGTTGTTGTGCCTCTTCCCGGTGAGGAGGGGGATAAGACAGGATCTCCACCCTCAACCCAGAAGTGGGTGGGTAGTGTAGTGTGGGATCATTTTGAGGTGGCAAATGATCCCAGGTATGCTAACTGCCAGCACTGTTGAAGGCAGAACAGCCGGGGCAAGGAAGTGAAACACTTCGCCACCATGACGATGCTGCTGCAACTCAGGAGGCAGCAGCCTCTTGCCCTTGTTCCTCCTTAGTCTGGCACCAGTGGGAGCATACCCAAAAGGAAGTCCCCCTCTCACTCTAAAGCTCCTGTCCCCAAGAAGCAGAGCCAGGCCATACTGGACCACTGGGGAAAAGGCGGAGACAAAGCGGGGCGTGTTACAAAGGCGAGCGAGTTCACCCAGAGCATTGGGGAGATGCTTGCTCTGGATAGCCAGCCCTTCTCCTTTGTTGAGTGTCCAGGGTTCAGGCAGCTCATAGCGCTCGTAGGTCCATCCTGCCAAGTGTCCACATACACCACCTTTAGCAGGACGGTGGTGCCCTCCCTGTATGAGGCATGCAGGGAGTACTTGGTGCAGGTAGCCTTGCACTTCCCCTCGGACATCTGAAGAGGCTGGTGTGGAGATCATGCCTACCTCTCCCTCTCAGGTGTGCACTGATGCGATCAGTCAGGGCATTGGTGGGCTCTCCTTCAAGTGGAGATGCTGGATGAGTTTCACATGGCAAGGGAGATAATGGTGGCCATGAACCACATGGTTCAAGGGTGGCTTGTTGGGCAGGGCGAGCTCACCTGCAGGTTCGTGGTCACTGACAATGGGGCCAATATGGTCAAGGCAGTGCGTGTGGCACACAAGTTCCACCTCGTAGTCAGGAACACCTTGGAGAGGGACAGGGCTCCTGGTGATGGTGCCATCATCACCAGCCAGATCATTTTGAAATGCAGGAAGGTGGTGGGCTATTTTCACCGGAGAATCAAGGAGGCCAAGATGCTGCAGGACAAACAGGCAGAGCACAAAATCCCACAGCACAAAATCATGCAGGATGTGGAGACTTGGTAAAACTCCACATACCTGATGCTGGAAAGGCTGGTGGAGCAACAGAAGGTCATCCATGAGATGGCCTTGCCTGAGGAGATTGGGATCAGCGGCCCCCTTAACAAAATGGAGTGGGATACGATTTCCCAGATCTTGGTGGTCCTCAAGCCGTTCCTCAAAGCCACTGAGAGCCTCAGCACTGGTGATGCCCTCCTTAGCCAGGTGATCCCTGTAGTGAAGGAGCTTGAGAATAAAATGGACAAGTTCTAGGGGATCAGTGTTCCTGGCTGGGGCAAGCTGCTTTCACCAGAGGTGCAGTCACTTGTGAAGCAGCTGAAGGAAGGCATCAAAAAATGGCTGGATTCATTGTGGTCCAGTACAGTCCATATGCTGGTGGGCATGTGTGACCCGAGGGTGAAGGGGAGTGTCTGGAGCAGCAAAAACCTTGATCACTGGGTGGAGGTGCTGGTGAACAGAGTCAGGGAGACAGAAGAGCAGAGGCGGGGGGATGTGGAAGAGAGGGATCCACTTTCCTGTGCCAGCACTCCAACCACGAGCCAATCTCCTCCACCCCAGCCACTGCCAATGTGGGCCAAGGGCATGGCTTCAATGTTGGAGTCCAGAGGCACCAGATCCCACTATCAGGCAGGTAGTGCAGAGGCCTCAGTGGCTATCTATCTTGCCAAGGACGTGGAGCCACTGCACTGTGACCCTTTGGCCTATTGGGCAACCAACAGCCAGGTGTGACAGGATGTGGCCATGGTTGCCCGAAAACACCTGTCCTGTCCACCCACCAGTGTTCAAAGTGAGAGGGTGTTCAGCATTGCTGGGGATGTTGTGACATCTCACCGCACCTCCTTGGATCCAGGTTTGTTGGAGCAGCTGGGGTTCATCAAGGTGAACCTCCTGGTGCTGGGGTTCCCCAGGCTCCACGTGCAGATGGAGTGAGTGCCACCCTCCTCACTCTGCTCCTATTTGCTTGTTTTATTTTCTTTCAAAACCTCGAGGTGCACTTTCACTGAAACCCCTGCACCACTCTGCCTGAAACCTGGCAGGCCTTATGCCCACACGAGGGGCTACCATTCCTGC